GAAGTGCACCGGGTCAAGAGGTGCTGGACGAGGTTGTTGCACTCGTCGTCCGTGAGATTCTTCTTGTGTTGGCCCTTGCGCATGTTGGGAAATGAATGGTCGAAGGGAGCTCAAGGGAGCTCGTTTTGAAAGCCAAACCCCCGCGCAGGTCTTGGCGGGAAGGTATAGCCGGATATCACTGTTTGCAACCGGTATTTATCCGGATATGTGGGGGTCGCTACTAAGAATTGCATAATCTAAGCACGGACAATCATGGGGTTTGTATGGTTTTTGTTTCTTGTGATTTGAGGTTTTGATTTAAGTTTAAGATGCTCATATTATGCTATTCGGATAGCCCACACTTTCCTTGTTCTTCGGATAGCTTTACTTTATCCTAATTCAGATTGGCTGGAGAAAAAACTGGACTTTTCGAAATACGAACACTTATTATTGGACAGAGGTAGTAATCAATTTAGGATAACTTTGTATTGCCCAACCACACCTCGTTACTGTATTTGTTCGTGTCAAAACCTCTATCATATAATGCTGGCCATTCCATCACGTGAATGCAATGCAAAAACGGCGTAGAAGCCATTGGTAATAGTCATTCAAGATTGGGTTGAAGTTCCCTAGTCGACACGGGCCACATTGGGTTGGATCTGAGGTTTTGTCGAGTGTTAAACTCGGTAGACATCCATCCACAACAGAAATTTAACTCTATAAAACAGTACCCTTGTATAAATTATATGCAACCTGTTGTAACCGCTTACCCTAAACACAAAATTTCAATGCTCAAACACATACATACTTTAAGATAAAAAAGTTATCCTAAATTGGTTATCAAAATGTGAGTACAAATGCTTACAAAGTTACAAATTTACCTGTGAAGTTCATCGCCTAAACTGATGATTCGATTATGAACTGAAAGAGGCGCGTCTTGTCTATTGGAATCACTTTTCAAAACTCAAATATCGTAACGGACTCAAAAGTTATGTCCATTCTACTCCGACGCCTCCAAAAAAGTTATCTTAAATTGGTTTTTTACGTTAACGTTACTGTACAAAAGTCGGCAGAAGAATTAAGCTAATTTGCAGGAAACCATCATCAGCATCTTATTAGTGTATTACTTAAACTAGTGTGATTACAATCACCACAATACTTTACATACAAAATTCAGCACACAGAATCGATCAATAGATTTGGCGAATCAGCACAAACGTCCACATTTTGGGTAAATTCAAAAAGAACAATACAATACTGTACCTCGTTGCCATGACAAGCTATGACCTTGGCTGGGCACGAAGGACTGATGAGTTGTGGTGGCCCGTGTATGTGTGCAACGTCCAACCTCTTCGTAAAGGCGCTTTTCACTATCTGCGTACGTACGATGACGTGTCTGTCATGAGATCGAACTAACCCTTGCTTGTGGTGCTCCCAGAGATCGAGCACCAACCGGCAGTGAAATTGGCACACAAGTTTAATGGCGTGCTTGTGTACTACTTGGGGATATACACATTGTACGTGGGTCGTTCGTGTTGGTCGTTGTCATCTGAACGTATAGTTCAGCACAGACAAAAGTGGACGTGAAGCGATGGAGTTGCAACGAACGCCATTTGTTCAGTCAACAGGAGGCCATTGCGGATGATGCTGACATGCTCACACAATTCACAACAGCCATGGCAGAAGCCAAGGTATGGCAGTACACGAACCAAACCGTGCGAGACGACGACGACAGCGTTGCTCTAGGTCTTTGAGGACCAAGGCACCCTTCCGTTCTTAACACCATCGGACCTCCGCAGTAGCTTGACACCTCCACCGTGGCCCAAGGATATCATGCCAGGAACGATCACGTGGATGAGCCATGCATCAAAGTCATGGGCGCCAGCCTATGTGTTTGATCCTGGTCACTTGCGTGCCAACCATAATGTAGCCAGTACGACGTACACATCTACTACTAGTATTGGGGTATAATATTCATCTATTACTGGTATTTGGGTAGCCCGTCACGAGAAGAAACAGTTGCTTCAAGCTAGCAATCCTAACACGTACTATCTCGTCTACAATTTTGGAGATTGCCAAATGTACGTCCCCATGGACAAGTGAATGCACTTGACGTGTGTATTTCCAGCTCGCTGTGGAAGCGCGGCAACGCCAAGATGCTGCCGTGGGGCTGCCCTGAACACGATAAGTTCCTCTTGGGCGTGCCGAGGAAGCACCCCAACGAGTACCTATCAAAAGCCATGAAACGGCTCGAGGTGGTATCCCCCATGGTGATAGTTATCAACGCCATGTAATATATGGTGTGTATGCTGCTGCTGTGGGTAGGACTTTCTTTTGGCGAAACAGAACCAGAAAAAGCTCACGATCAAAAATGCCTACGTCGTCCAGGTCTCCTGGGCCAACCCGAGCAAAAACGAACTGGATCCCAACAACGACGACATCGCTATTAGTACCGTGGACGACACGATGGCAAGCAGTGGCAAGGATATGTCGACTCTTTGTGTGCGAAAGCGCAAAGCTGTCGAGGGTAAGAGCATAGATGTGAGGCAAAGCATTTGATTCAGTGGACTGATCGTAGAAGCACCACCTGCGATGGTCATGTACTCCAAGAAAACCCACTTGGCAACTGTCATGGGCACGTCCAAACGACCTGCAATTGGTCCCCAGCCAACAGCATCGCTTCCCCCTCCTGTTCCGCCGCTTTTCCGCAATGGGGTGGCTTGGGCCCACGTCCGAGGCCAACTGTGGTGGCCAGTGTATATTTGCAACCCACACCTGTGGTCTCCACGTAACCACTTGGTTTTGAAAACGAAAAGTTCCAATATATATGAACTGTCTAGAGCCAGACTCGCCTACCTTGACGTATGACGTGTACTCGTTTGGGTACCACACGATGAGGTTAGTAAGCTGCTGATTGGAGAGGATATATCATGATAGTGGTCGTAGGAGTCGTGCGTTTACATTGGCGCAGCTACGGCCATGGAAGTGTCCTGAAGCACCAAGGCTCCGTGAAACCATCTTCACGGCGCTTGACCAGAGCAAAGTGTCGGACCAAGAAACACTGGGGAACGCCCTCGTGGAAGCCGACGTACGCTACATGCCTTGTCTGGATTCACAGTCAATTGTTTATGTATTTCCTTGTAGAATTATTACGTTGAGTACGAGCAGATTCAGGTAACTTGGGGTGGCAGTAGTCTGCACGTGTTTCTATTCTTGTTTGTAGAGCTCTACGGATCTCGAGAGTAAACTTGCACGCCTAAAGTGCAATACGCTCGCTGCCTCCGCCGCCTGGTGTTGTAGCTAGCTTCTAGCATTGAAACCAGTGTAGTACAGCCACACTAGATTAATACCGACAGATTAATATAATATCAGCGTAGTATTCTTACTAACGTCAGTACCGTGCATTTATTACCATTGATATCTTGTAGTTTATTTTTACCAATTTTGATGAGTATTACAGTTGTACTTACGATGAGTGCTCATATTTAGAAAAATTAGATATATTTTTGAAGCAACTAACGCCGTCAGCACTCCGCCTGTGAAGAGTTTATTCGCACCAAAGTTGAAATTCAAAGGAATTGATGGGAGTCTACATGATGTTGGATTGCCGAATTTCGTCTGAAAAATTGCGCATTTTGGTTGGCTAAAACATTGCCTCTATGAACGCACTGATTGGTTACGAGACGAATGCACATTTCCTCGTCCAGAGACTATGGCCACGTCAGGCCGTGCAGCGTATGAGGACGGCGGAAGGTTCAACTGCGTGGCGTGGGCCTCCACGAGTGGAGCTCTGTGGTGGCCGGTGTACCTTTGCAACCCGATGACAATGGCAGACGATTTACACGTATTAGGTGCGTCACGAGGTGTGCATGTCACCCGTGACCATGGGGCATCGTGGTAGGCCACAGCCACAAAGACTATCGAACCGAGCGATACCCCGGCATCCCAGTCGTGTACTACCTTGGCACATACGAATTGTACGTTCGTTCGCTGCGATGTTGACGATGCCTTGATGACCACCCTGTAGTGAGCACGGCAAGGCGGAAGTGAAGGAATGGTTCTGCCCCGAGTTCGAACACTTGGCCCAAGAACCCTCCGTGCCCGACGACGTATTGGTGGATTGGTGTCGAGCACTTGCAGAAGCGCAGGTACATGCTCATCCGTGCCCAGCGCCTGAGCAGAACGGGTGTAGGCCATTCGGTCGACTGGCGTGGTACCGTACATGCTGCCATCGGACTTGGACAATCGGCTTCCACCTGTGCCTCGACTTTGCAATGCGTCGGAAGGGTCGGTCGTTTGGCTCTTTACGCATGGACACCCATGGAGACCCTGCTTTATTCTAAATCCATTCAGTCTAGTCGCGAAACAAGGTACATCATCCTAAGTATCACGTCAACCAGTTCTACACATGTGCTAACTGCGTTCAGGAAACTCAAGCCACCTGGTTCGGCTCGTGAACAATGCTCAGAAGGACCCAAGCAGATACTACCTGGTCTACACTTTTGGCGTGCATGCGATGTAGGCCCACATGGCGACGGCATTGTATTTCTAACTCGATTATTCTAGCCAACTGTTTAACCGAAGCAAATCCAAGGCTGGCATCAAGCTGTGGAACTGCCCAGAGCATCAAGGCTTTCTCCGAGGCATTCCTCGGCCTTCAGCGCAGGGCCAGGTGATTCTGCATCGGGGTGTGGATCATGCCACGGTGCGACCTCTGCATATACCGATATATATATATATGTTTGTTGTTGCCTCGTATTGACCGAATCATGTAGGCATTTTTAAAATCAGGCTCGAACCTGGACGGTCTCGTCCTTCCTGGCTTTAACGTGGATAAAAATCCAAGAACCCATCGCCCGTTGATTATCTACCAACGTTCGTACTGAACAAACCCATCTAAACAGAGTGCTAACCCCGTCGATCCGTAGCCCCAAAGCCCAAACACCCCGAACCAACCACGCACAGTTATCCGCTGCGCTCCAAGCAAAGCCAAGAACCGACTGTTGGAGTCACCGTCGTCGCGCCCCCGACGCCACAACCAACGCCAGCCAAGTGGGCGACACGGGAGCGGTATCCCTTTGGCATGGCTTGGGCTCGGATAACTAACATGATGTGGTCGCCCATTCATTTGTGCCAGAAGACCGATTGGACGACACACAAAGCAGGTAGTACGGAGAACTGTCTAGTATATCTTGCACACTCTTGTCATGTGACTCTTGTAGGCCACCAAAAGTTGGCCGAGTACAAGATCCGCGTCCACATTTATTGCTTTGCAACACACACATTGTATGTCGGATGGTTTGTTTCCATGTCTTTTGCCTTCGTGCATTTTTTAAATTTATATATTGTAAACCTGTACGAATATATCGAATATGCTATATACATATATATGGTTCAGTAGTGCTAACGAGTCCTAGTCGCACGTGGTCGGGTCAATTCCATCCGTGGCTGGGCGCGACCGACCATATCAAGCAATTGCGTGCGGTGGGGATGGGACAAGTATTTAACGAAGCTCGGGTAATCTATAGCTAGGATATACAGGCGTCCTCATTTTAATTCGTAGGACTTTATTGCCAAGTACGACAAGCTGGAGGTATGTATCTAAATTTCTATGATTTCTCCTGTGGGTGTAGGCGGACCTCACTTTAAACAACATGTAGCGAGTGCTGATCCTGCAAAATGCCATCGAATCGTTGGGGCCGAGTTAGATCAAGTCGTGTTGGTCCTGTTCTACAAGCAGGACAAGCAGTCTTGATGTCATACACGAGGACTTTTAATTTTGAATAGTAGGATATTCCATAGCATAAGAAGCAATGGACCCCGTTGGATGCTTCCACGCCTTGTTGTCGTCAGATTTCGCCCAAAGTGCCTCTATCGACAAGAAAGAACTCAACACGATATTGATGTGGTCGTGCAAAGGTCATGTAAAATATATATATATAGCCATACATTGGCTTTGGCCATGGCTGTCTTGAATTGTAATAGCATCTCGTGTCATCTAAAAGCCCCTTCCTTGCCTGACGTCCACTCGCATACTTGACGCACCCTATGTCCAGATTAGTTTCAACAAGGATAACAATGTACAATGTTATTGCCCCAAGCATGTAGCACATCACGACGCTGTAGGATTTGCCAATTTCAATGCCTGGTTCTCTGACGGTCGTGAGTAAGTACAGTACTACTGTTAGTGGTATTAACTGGTACTACTAACATAAACGGCCAATTATTGCCCCCGGACCACCAATTTTGTCAAAAACTTTTGCGTGTGTTGGAGCATAACTTTTCTAACAGTGCCACGAAAAATGGCATTAAAATGGCCGTTTTTCCAAGCCAAAATCGAACTTTTCCATTTTTCATTGGATGCCACCAAAGTTCAAAACTTTACGCCACAATTTTCTGGAGAATCGTATGGCATAAAAGAAATGGACCTACTATTCGGTCCAACTCTTTTACGGAGGTTTGTAGTCCGTCGGAAATTATCGAATAATTTTTTTCCATAATTGAACTGGCATCCAGACAACTTTGTAGATATTTCTTCTTTTCTCGTTTTTTTCACGGGATACGACACTTTGGGAAAATATTGCAGAATTGCCAAACCAGTTTATGGCGTAATTTTATGACCCGCCCTTAGTACTTTTTTAGCAATGAATTACGTATACCCCTCAGGAAAGGTCATCTGTTTCTTGATTGATGTTGCACATATACACAGACCCACCACGAGTCCCGTCGTTGCTGTGGTGTTGCATGTATTGACTTCTGATTGGATAAATACTTTGCATAATCATGTATCGGATGGTCGGTTCATCGCTTGATCGATTATTGGGATATTTTTTAATATTATATCTCCACCGTGGAATACTACCTAGTTAGTTGTGAATACTTTGACGTAAACATAATATTCGAGTCTGTCCTGTCGTCTCTCTCCGTATATATCATCTATCTGCTTGAACGGCCTTGATATCTCGAACTAACTACATACTGGACACTCGTTGAACTTCTTGGCTGAGAGAGAACACGCACTACACCAAGGACACGACCACCTGTCAGTTGAATCATGCCAATACTTATGTACCTCCAGTCGTTCGAACATAGCATAATAGTCCTACACAGCAACGTCAACAAGTGATACGGACCCTCTTCGTCACCTCGGCGTCGTCGACAACCGCTTGCATCCCAGCTTCTCGTAATAGCATGGAATACTTCATCGCCTTGGAGCTTTTCCACGGTCTCACTCGAGCAGTCCACGTGTGACTACGAATTGAACAAAATTATATATATATATATATATATATATATATAGCCGACGCTAGAAATAGAGTCCTTACAATGCACAGTCTTGGAACGAGTACACGTGGCAGTCCCGCAGATCCCGTTGGCGTTTGTCTGCCAATATACGTTCGTCGGTCCATACCCGTGCTGTGATAATTATTCATACCATTAATCATCTCCCACAGCGGTCGGTTGGTCACGAGCACTGGCGTCCACATGGACGTTGCAGACTGCTCTTGAGCCCATACAATGCCATGAGCGTACGTCGGTTCCTTGGCGGGGGGCCGGCGGGGGTCTTCGAGGTGTTGCTTGGTTGGGTGGGAAAAAGCAGAGGCAGAGATCCATTGCGTTGGCTGATGGTGTGTCGACTCGTGGCGCCACGACAGCTTGGGCTTTTTATAGGGCGGCGGGTCTGCTGAGCGAGGTGAGATTAGCAACCTTCGTACGTGATATACTTCTACCAGTGCTCAGGGAACGGCGAGGTGGCCCCGTACTCGTAAAGATAAGTCCAGGAAACGTGAGGTGATCCACGTTGTACCCCGACACGACAAATACCTACTCATCATTATATATATAAATATTATTTATATATACTAATATATATTTATATATATATATAGAGAGAGAGAAAGAGAAGGGCCGTGTACCATTGCATGCTTCACCGCCTTTTCGATGGTCTGCTGGAAATGCGCGAGACGAGGGATACCGCGAAGGAACCCGTCATGCTCGGGGCATTCCCACAACTTGACCCGTGCCCAGCTTCGGACGAAGAGTTTCCTAGCAGGGGTAGATACGATGCTGTGACATATCGACCTCCCATGCAGAGATGAGTTCGTACAGCGAGTGGATGCCAAAGAAATACACCAGATAGTACTTGTCCGGGGTCTTTTGGGCTTGGCGCACCGCACTGCGGATGGACGTCGGAGCTACAACAACACACGGGAGGCGTTGGCAAGCGCAACGAAGTAAGGCGTTGAATGTACCGTCGGTCACGATCACAGTCGATGGCTCGAGGACGTAGCAAGGCATCCAAGGGTTTCCACGGGAATAGTGCCACATGATGGACCCTTCCGGAACAATCGGCGGCGGAGGCATCGGTGGAAGGTTCTTGTTCAAGTCCGACGGAGTCAAGTACGGCACGATGCCATTGACACGGATTTTCTACGCTTCGCTTAGGCGCTACCATTGACACGACCACGTACCTGCGCTTCTTGGAACGCCAGGCACCATTCCCGCAACTTGTCGTCAGGTATATCGGGTTCCTGTGAGAACGTCTTGTACTCGTCGCAAAACCAGTCCTTCACATTCACAAACCCTCCCTCACTACAACACCGTGTCCCCAGTCATGAGTGGTGGGCCACTCGACCAGGAAAGCTTACAATTCGTAGGTCCCAAGGTAGTATACGAGCGGGAAGTTGGGATGCCGTCGCCGCTCGAGGAGTTGGTTGTGGGCCGAGCCTACGCCGCTATGGTGAAGTCCTTGATACGGACGTTGCTACGCACCCAACACATGCAAATCTTCTGCGATTGTCTTGGGGTCGCACAGGTACACAGGCCACCACAACTTGCGATTGGTGGAGCCCCATGCGACGCAGTTGATCCGTCGGTCCGACGCATAGTACGGTGAAGCCATGGCTTGATGATCGTCCCCCGCAATATTGTATGGCTTCAACCAATCGGTGCAGTATTTGATACTGTATTTCATATTCGACCAATCAGTGCATTTAGATCTCGAATAAGGTACTGTTATTACTACACTGTACTTGTAGTATTATTAATAATAATGTCACCAAATACACCGGAGTATTATTAATAATGGGTCAAACCAATCCGGGCTCACGAACTCGGACAATAATAGCAAAAAACGACCTTGGCGAGCACGTCAAAGAAATTACTTGGCTGCTAGCACACCCAATTCGATTTCATACAAACGAATATTATATCCGGTGGCTGTTGACCCCTCGCATAGCCTCCATTTGTAGCCACCATTTTTCGAGGATTCCGACATAAAGTTTAAGAGTTTCCGCGACAGCATAACAATACTATAATAGTAACGTTAAATGAAAGGTCACGAATCGTGAAAAGAAACCTACAAAGATCAAATCAATATGGTTCGGATCAGATTCAAATCTTATTCCATAACATGAAAGGTCCGGGTCATTTATAGATAACCTGTGTCCGAATTATCCTATTTAGGGTTATAACTAGGACAGGAGGGGGGCTCCTCGGCCTGGTTCGCTTCGCTCCCGGCCTCCGGTGCTCCCCACCTTTCGATAGATCATTCCTGTTATATTGAGTCGACTCGCGGGCGAACGGGCCTGGTTCGCTACGCTCCTAAGCGTTCTGGATATAGAATATTGTATGTACTTGTATAGGGATATTATCAGATATACCCATAACTCCTAGTCCTAATTTCAATTAGGGTATTTCCCTGGTTTTTATATATAAACTGTTAAACCTAATATCCATTTTTCCAGAAAGTGGATTTTAGCAACTATGCCTGCGGCACATCATAAACTGGCTTCCAACGAGCAGTAGTGTTCAACCCAGTCAATGTGATTATGCACGCAGAGAACGCAGATGAGCAAGTAGACGAGTTGGATGCAATAGTAGAACTGTAATGAAGGTGAATAAATCCAATAATCAAGCAGCAAAACAATACATTTAACGCGCATCGCATTGGATTCAACACATTCAGACATAAATGGCATTCGCGAAGGATCAACAGGTACCGGTACGGTACCGCTTACTCTGTGCTCATCTGCGTTCTCTGCGTGCATAATCACATTGACTGGGTTGAACACTACTGCTCGTTGGAAGCCAGTTTATGATGTGCCGCAGGCATAGTTGCTAAAATCCACTTTCTGGAAAAATGGATATTAGGTTTAACAGTTTATATATAAAAACCAGTTTATATTTCAAGATGAGCAAGTAGACGAGTTGGATGCAATAGTAGAACTGTAATGAAGGTGAATAAATCCAATAATCAAGCAGCAAAACAACAATACATTTAACGCGCATCGCATTGGATTCAACACATTCAGACATAAATGGCATTCGCGAAGGATCAACAGGTACCGGTACGGTACCGCTTACTCTGTGCACCTAC